GAATAGAGGGGGAACTAGTAGTGCAAGATCAACTTGCTAATGCTGAAAACACACGAGAAATTTAATAGTTTTTTTTTCTTCTTCAAATTTTGGAAGAAAAACGAGGAAATTAAAATCCCTTTCGAAATGTATGACATGTTTTATCGTTTTGTTAAAAAAAAAAAAAAAAATTAAAAAAAAAGTGAATTTTTGTGAATTTTTGTACAGCTCCACACCCTTCCCCTTCCCCAATGATTTTGAGGTACTATTTCCAAAACATTGCTTCGTAGCTCTGCTCCAAAACGTATCTTACAAGTCTGCGCAGACTCTGCCAGTGATGAAAGCACAAAAATATCTGGCTCACATGAACAACCTTACACGATAAACTTCTGGGCGGCGGTAGAGACCTCGAGGCTACTTTGTAATCATAGGTTTATGTTATGTTATATCGCAATCAACGTCTTTGCATATTAGGCATTCCCATGCGTGCCCAGCCGTCCAGTGCAGCAGCCACTCCAAGGTAGCTATACTGATTGTTCCCATGAGAAGTTGGTTATAGTTTCTCCTGACTTCACCTCGAAGACAGTATAGACGTACTTTCCCAAGCTTAACTCCTCGGTTACGCAACCATGTTAGCATAAGAGATTCAACATTATTCCCGAGCCTAGTCGGCAAAGCTATGACAACATAAGTCCTGTCCATGCTTTTTCCAGTTTGCATGGGTGCATTACTTGCCAGCTGGTCAGCTCTTTCATTACCAATTACTCCTGTGTACCCAAGTGTGTAGATGATAAAGGCTAACTACGACTTCCGAACGCTTTCTAACCCTTAAGAACGTAGACTACCTGTTACGATTTTCTGAAGCATGTTTATGGGAGTCTGAAACGATTACCGCCCATGCGAGTACTTTTTTTTTTTTTTTAATCGATCACCGGCTGTGAATTCCAGTGGAAGGTCCCGGTTAATCGTCCGCTTGGACTTTTGGCTTTCACCTGGACGTGATTTTTGCGTGTACAACCGTTTTTCATTTCCCTGCCTCATGGGCAGCTGTACTCCGACTTCGAAGGAAGACGTCAGGCCTATTTCTAGGTTGACTGTGGCCATTGTTTTGTGTGGGTCGAGACGTTGCCTGATTTGTGTGGTGTCCGCCTTGTCTCCTTCGCCGCAGGTATTGCCCCCGGAGTACCCCTTTGGGGCAGCCCCCTGTGGAACAGTTAGCCCTCAAGGGAAGGCAGGGGCAGATCATGGGCATTCCCCGCCATCCAAGGAGGCTTTCATGCATGCAGAGCCGGCACATGGCGCTCTGGTTCTGGGCTCACCCAAGGAATCGTCACGTCTTGCACATGCCTGCTTAACCTCACAACCGTATCAGGCCTCCCGCTCGACAGGGGCTGCACCCTCTGGAAGTCAGCGGGGAGCAGCCCGTGGGTTTTGGACTTTTGTGACCACACAGATAGGTACATTCTTTTTTTCTTCGCACGTTAGATTTCTTTGACGAGCCGTTAGCCCGACAGAATTTTACATCCTGCATCAGGCATATCGTTATCAGTTTTGTCCCAACACTCGGGCGAGTGGGGTCTTTGGGTGTGGACATTCGGTCTTTTTTCAGTTCAATACAAATTTTGATGGTCAGATTTGATCCGTATGATCTAGTTTTGTCGGACAATTAGGATGGTTGCTGTGTGTGGTGTACCTCAGCGCGGTGTCGACGACACTGAGGGTTAACCGAGGATGTACATGAATGGCCAGCCTATGGATGGTTGCTGTTGTGGTGTACCTCAGCGCGGTGACGACGACACTGGGGGTTAACAGAGGATGTGCAGTGAACAATGTTCTCTTTACTCCGCAGTCTTTTAACCAAGGGTTGTAATTTTGGCTGTACGTTTGGCAAACCTACTCATGTTCCTAATGAGTTTTGATAACATTTTTCACCCAAGCGTTTGGGGGCGGGCTGATGAGAGCCACAAGGACACATCACCTCTGGGGGCCGCCGAACTCCGAGATCCCCTGACAGCTCTGTTAATGCTCATTTGAGACATTATCCGTGGCGCACGACGAGGACGTGCTGTAGGGGTCTTGCGTAAGGTTCCGTACAACCAGGATAGTTAAGGACTGGCGCCCGAGTGACGTACGGAGTATCTCCTTATACACATCATGTTGGACTTAACTTCCCCTCACGCCTGTGACATAAATCACCGCGCCACATGCGAGTACTCTGGAAGCAGCAGTTATCTCCATCGCCATACTTGAGCTAGATGTCTGGTAAGCGTTACTATCCTCTTGTACTGTTCTTTCCCCCACAGGGTGCCCCCCCCCCTTTTCTCTTGTTGTTGCTAGTGTTGGAACCTCTTCGTCTTTGCAGATGATTGTGTCATATTGTCATATAGGGAGGCGTGAGAATTACAGTCTATGGTTAGGACCAGTATGACTAACAAAGCCCGCTCACACAGTAGGATTATGTGTTGGATTATCTTCACAGCATTTCAGACACATCCGTTGGTGCTCAGACTTCCCCTTCAACGTATTCATCAGAGTCGCGGGGTTAACAGTGCCAGTCCTAAGCTGGCTGACAAAACTTCGTGTGCATGCGGTGCGTTTGAAATGCTTAGCTGTGCCGATCTTTACACCAAGATCTTGTATTCTTAACAGTGATGCGGACACATTGTTTCCAAAATCCTCATAAAGTCCTATCTCTCTAAGGGCATTGACAATGCGTGATCCATGGGGAGCTATATGCAATTAATGAGGAACCTGCCAGTCTATCTGCTCTTTCACTGACACGGGAATCAAAGTATCACTGTTTGAAACGGTCGAAAAGGGTTTATATGAGAGTTGCTACTGTTGGAGTCGCAATGGAATGGTGAATCACGACTCTTCTTTGGTTGCTAGATGGCAATGGTTCAGGCTGAAATCGCAAAAATGGGAAGGGAATAATGTATATGTAAACATCATAATGCGTGTATGAAGCAAGTAAACCATTGACGTCTGCAGTGATCCCCCTTATTAAATTAAAAAAAAAAAAAATAAAAGTAGCCTTTTAAGACAAAAGAGCATAGTAGAGTAAAAAGTAAAGGATCCTTTTCCACACCTCTAGGCCTATAGGGTATATATGGCTAGATCTATATTTTCATACAACCCCTATAAATACAGTTGGAAGCTTTTTGAATATTACCTCAATTCAGACTACATGCCCTCTAGAAGATAACCGTTTCCTAAGAATACTGTTGATTTCCAGCAAGATTTATTATATTTAGTTTTACAATTGTTTTAAAATGTAGGCATACTTAGAGTACATTGTTACAAAGATTTTGTTGATGATGCCTATTATTATTATTATTATTATTATTATTATATTATTATTATTATTATTATTATTATTATTATTATTATATTTATTACTATCTGCTAAAACAATATGTGCATAAATAATGTATGCATGTCGTGGGGCCAGAAGGGCAGAATGTAAGACGGGCCTGTGTGACCAATTCTTAACCCTTTGAAAATAAAGTTTGTTGGTTCGTTCGTTTTTTTTTTATTACAGACCAATGTGCACAAGATGGATGATGTGGTCAGTATCACGCCGGACAAAAGTGCACACTTAACTTATACTGAGACAGTTGCCCCCCCCCCCTATCTTTCCGGCCTCAAACACACAAGAGGACATACACACATAATAGTTTTGTGGTGCTAAGACATAACCGGGTCAGATTTATAGTATTTATAGCTGTCTGATTCTCCTCCTTGAGATGTTAATCATATAGAATCAAAATCTGAAGCAGTAAAGCAGTAAATCTTTAATATATATATATATATATACAAGCATTAAACAATCACAAACCGACTTAGCCTCAGTCTTAGTCAAGGTTTCAACGTCACTGCATCCAGGTCAATACAAACTTGCTCCGTTTCTGTGACAGTGAAAATCGAATGAAACTCCTTTCACTGTCACATTGGAAACAATGGTGAACAATTAGTCCCGACACAATCCGGAAACATACGCACTCAGTAAATGCATGTGGCAGTTTCTAGAGCGCCAAATCCAACAGTCGCCACCAGATGTTGTTGATGAAAGTAGTTGGGCACGTAAAGTTGGCTTTTTACATGCACAATTATTACATAAGGGATTTCACCAGCCCGTACGTGAAATGACTGAAATGAAGAACTAAATCTACACAAGTGATTGGTAGGGCTAGGGAGGCCGGCACACAAAATAATAAATAAATGACAAAAATAAGCAAGAGGAACTGGACAAAAAAGTAAAACCCATTTAAAGTACACATCATAAAAGATTTAAATTGTACGCTGGATAAGGAAATATTAAAAAGCAAATTCACACACACACACATATTCATATATATATATATATATATATATATATATATATATATATATATATATATATATATATATATATATGAATATGTGTGTGTGTGTGAATTTGCTTTTTATATATATTATATTATATATATATATATATATATTATCTGCCATAGTGCACATTTTATGACAGATAAGTATATGTAATATATGTGTGTGTGTGTGTGTGTATCTTGTTTGTGAGGGCCAGTTTTAGATGTTTTCGAGTCGTTAAAACCGATCACAACTTGGAATACAGAACACTTAGATTGTTGACAATAACACAACGTGACAACCCTAGAAGATAGTGCACTCCGTGGTAAAAGTCACAGCACACGAATGGAAGGTCAAACATTCTCCGGACTTTAGTCTTGTTCCAGAACCTGAGTGTTGCGTGCACATCCGTTTTACAAATCAGCCTATCTGTATGCAAACCGATCCCTGCCTCCCGGGCAGATGCAATATGACTGGAAGAATGCCGCCAATTAGTCGACTCCTACGACATGCTTGTTGCGGAGACAATGAATCTATTCTTGTTTCCCTCCACAATGCGGCCAACTACTGGGCAATAACATAACATAAGACATAAGATTTCTAAATATGTAGTTATTAAACTGATTATTGATAATACAGATTTTAAAAAAAGCAAGCGTACACATACTTACCACTTTAATAATGATGTCAGGACTGAGAGAAAAGCTGCCCGTTGAATGCGATGTGTTAGCGAAGGTGCGGTTCTGAAAATATGTGGCAAGCAAGCGTAATTCTAAATGAAGCATTAATTAAAAAGGAATAAGCATGGTTTTCCCTGACTTACCACTGAGCTCCGTTCTGACTAGCAGGTCTAAGTCGAACTGATCGTAAGTCAAATATATAGTTCTCATCACTATTTTTTAAAATTCAAACATGTTACAAAAGTTGCACATAAAACGCAGGTAGCGTGAGGCCTGCGGTTTTAGACAGTGCTTATACGCGTTAGAGTCAAATGGGCTCAGATGTCTAAACTCAGCTGCGCTCAGTTCCGGGAACGTTTTGACCTTACTAATTTAGCTATCTTTTTGGTCATATTTACAGAGTCCGGCCAAGGATGAGAATGACTTCCCTTATCATTCATTAAATCGCCGAGTCACACTGATTGTCTTATGTTGTCGGGGTGTCGCGCTTAGTGGCAGGCTACAGGGCGTGGCATTTTTCTAGTTGTTGTCACCGGTCGGTGATACCGCGTATCGTATATTCCAGGATGTGAGCGTTTTTAACCGTCCAGAACATGAAGAACTGGCCATAACCCCCCCCCCCCCCCCCACGAAGGAGCGCAGCCTACGTTTCAAGACTTCATGCACCCTCAGTAGCTCGATCAATGAATGGCAAGGGAAGTCACTTTCATTCTGGGCCGGACTCCGTAAATAAGACCATTTTTTTTTTTTAAATTGACTATTTGTCTTTACATTTCCTTTAGGTCATAAGTGTGGACGGTCGTAAGTGGCAGAGGTAGTAAGTCGAGTAGAGGGTGTAAAATTAAGCAAAGCAAATGTGACGGCTTCTAAAGAGATACCATCAGTCCTTATGCAACCTAAATTAATTTTGTAATGATTTAATTAATGCGCAGTGACTCAAATAGCTACATTTTGTGATTGCGTACATATCCAATTTCGTCCTTTATAAGACGAAATTTTGTGTCATTTGAAGCCCTACTCTGGCTTTGGCCAGGGGCCGCAATATAGGCAGGCCATACATATGGCTAAATGTCTGAACGCGGTTTCTGGGACCTCTCCACGGCGATCCTCATCCGCATGGTGACACTTTGTGTCATCGGGTGTTTATCGCTTGTGTGATGTCCTGGTGGGGTAGAAAGTCAGCCAGTCAGTCATAGCTACTTTTCGGTGGCGAATCTAACAGAGGAATCCTATATATTCCTTTGAACCTCCAAGGAAGTTACAATTAGGTCACGTGTGACAACTATACCAAAGAGGTGTACACTGGAGTCCCCTGTGGGGCAAAATACATTTAACAAAAGTTCACCTCTATAATTACAGCCTGAAAGATAGGTCATACACTAGGGGGTGGGGGAATGGGGAGTGAACAAGGTAACCAGAAAGGCTTTTTACACTGAAATCCAGGAAAGAAAAAAATACAAATAAGGGCAGACCAAATAACACAGGGAAAAGGGAGCTTCAAGATGAAAAAAAAAAATAGTAAAGTAAAAAAGATGCGGAGGACACGGGGTGAGTTGGATGCGATAGCAAACCACTAGCGTGAGTTGACTGAAGGAATATGCACCATTGGGGTATGCGGGGAGAAGAATAAAAATACACAACAAAGCTAACTGCAGCAGAATATTATAGCGAGTCCAAAAAAAGTGACTGTACATAAATTAAATATTATTGAAGTTCTAATATGTGTTAGGTAGACTTCGCTATCAGTCTCAACCTGCTTGTAGTGATCCTTTTTTGTGTGGGTTGTACGACTCTTTCACCTATGACCATCGGAAAACACATATTCATTGAAGTTATGACAGAAACAAATTGCTTCGGGTTCGCCACAATAAGAGGGAACTGTATTAAAGGGTCGCGACATAAGTAAGGCTGAGAACCACTAGTCTAAACAATACTGCTATATCTTGGAACATTAGGTCACATAACGAATCGATTTTTAACTTTCCGTCCTTTTCAGGATGAAATTTTTCGTTATTTGAAGCCCTACTCTGGCTTTTGCCAGGGGCCGCAATATAGCCTGGCCATAAATATGGCCTAGAGGTTGAACGCGGTTTCTGGGACCTCTCCACGGTGATCGTCACCAACATGGTGGTACATTGTGTCATCGGGTGTTTATCGTTTGTGTGATGTCCTGGTGGGGTAGAAAGTCAGTAAGTCACATAACGAAATATACATATTTTTTACACAGCCAGTTTTTTTTTTTTTAAATAGAAATGAAAACCTGGCTGCAGGGCGACTTTTTTGGACATCCTATTTAGAACCTTAAAAACAAAAAATGGAAGGTAAATTTAGGACTCCTGAGTAAATAATAGGACACACAGACAAAATACAACAGTGAGACTCAAACGGACAAAAGATAACAAACGTGAGTCAAAAACAGGACCGCAGTGGAATTGAAACACGGATGGAGAAGACAAGTGACCTCCTTAGGGACACAAAGTCAGCAACCTGTCACACATTCCACACTGTCAGCCACACACTTGGCACAATTACATTAAATCATATATATAACCAAACAGCAGCGGGTTGAACGTGGTCGAGTTTGGAGGTTAATTTTTTTAAATAAAAGGAAGCAGGAAATTTCTGTCCGCCACTCTTTATCTACCTTGTGTGTGTGTGTGTGTGTGTGTGTGTGTGTGTGTGAGTGAGACAGAGAGAGAGAGAGAGAGAGAGAGAGAGAGAGAGAGAGAGAGAAAGAGAGTAGTACAGTAGAGGATTATTAGGTATCATGCAATGCCTGCAATAATCTGCAATGACTGCAATGCCTGCAATAATCTGCAATTCGTGTAATAATCTGCAATGTCTGCAATGCCTGCAATAATCTGCAATGCGTGCAATAATCTGCAATGATCTGCAATGTCTGCAATGACTGCAATGTTCTGCAATGTCTGCAATGTCTGCAATGCCTGCAATAATCTGCAATGTCTGCAATGACTGCAATGTTCTGCAATGTCTGCAATGTCTGCAATGCCTGCAATAATCTGCAATGCGTGCAATAATCTGCAATGTCTGCAATGTCTGCAATGCCTGCAATAATCTGCAATGTCTGCAATGACTGCAATGTTCTGCAATGTCTGCAATGTCTGCAATGCCTGCAATAATCTGCAATGCGTGCAATAATCTGCAATGTCTGCAATGTCTGCAATGCCTGCAATAATCTGCAATGTCTGCAATGACTGCAATGTTCTGCAATGTCTGCAATGTCTGCAATGCCTGCAATAATCTGCAATGCGTGCAATAATCTGCAATGTCTGCAATGCCTGCAATAATCTGCAATGCCTGCAATGACCTGGTGCTGCCTGGAGCTTGAGTCGAGAGCGGGTTGGATAAAACAGGCAGGATCCGTAGGAGAGGATGTTCCGGGGAAGTAAGGGCGATTGTAAAGCCCTCATGACTTTGATTTAGGATCAGGGTTGCCCACCGCTACTTTAAGCTGTTCTGAACATGTAAGATTGGTGTGTGTGCTCTCTAAGTGTTCGGCTTGGTGTGTTCAAAGGCACATAATCTGTCACAGGCCTACACAGCGAGCCTTATGCTTTCAGTAAACTAGGTTTCAGATAAAGGTTGTTTGTGCCCCGGTTATCATCAAGAGATGTGGGTGCGCCCCTCTCTACTGCTAAGTTGTGGTCTGATATATGAATTAATCAAGTAACAGAAAGTATTGTGAACGGCACTCATAGAAAGAACTAGAAAGATAGAAGAACCCACTAGACAACATAAAAATCGAAAGCTATAGTTACCGTGCCGGGAATTGAACCTGTCACCTCCAGACGGCGTCTGCGCCTCGCCATGAATACAAGTGCACTAAGATACAGGGTCAACTAGGCACCCCCATAAAAAGGTGTCTTATTGGCCGTGTCTATCGTACAGCTTGAAATCCACGACTATGGAATACGGACAGAATTCATTACAACCTATTGAAATAAAGGTGTCTGCTAATAGTGGATGTATTATTGTCTTTGATGATATTTTGTGCCGCGGAAATAGCGGCGGTGTGGGTGCCACTAGGTGGTTCGGCGGTCAGCACGGTTTGGCGCTGCGGTTGGTGTTAATGCCGAGTGATGGCGTGGGTGCCGCAGGCGCTAACTTCTGAATATTTTAAATAATTCATAATGTCCGTCGAGTCCCAAAAGACGAATAAAATCCTACCTAGCGTTCTAAACTGGTGCTTCTATTTGAGTAAACGGGCAAACTATATCATCAAAGTGAAAGTGTTGTCCCCAAAAGCCAGTGTCTATATTCCCCATTGAGACTTCTATATGTGGACTATATATGACATTAAAAACCAGGACCTGGATGGCAAAAGAACACGATATGTTCCAATTACCCGTTCAACCACCAAACAAATTATATATTTCGTGCACCGTAACGCCTACTGCCATTGTGCGGGAAAGATTATCCCCAAAGCCGTACTAATCGAGCATATATTCTCCTCAGCTCCTCAGTTCTCAGGATTAAATGTTGCTTCTCTCAATGTCTCAATAGCTCCTCCGTCCAAGATGAAGACTGTGTGTTGTGACTTTTAATAGTAACGACTCGGCCAAGCCCGTGACAACTACTGGTCAACACAAGAAGAATTGTATAATCTTCTTTCTTCTTTGCTTTCACCAGCTGTAAACTCTGACGGAAAACTATTATTTAAATTGTTGTTAGATTACACTACAGACTGCACAAATTCTACACTTATATACCAATAATCTCTAGTTAGCTGTTGGTGTGCAGTAAGTTAATATTCCTTAAAACAAGCAAGTATAATTGCATTAAAAATACAAATTTTCAAGTTAACAGATCAATAAAAGTTAGGTTTGAAGTTTGAAATGTAAACATTTAAGCACCCATAAGTGCTCCGTTCTTCTTTTAATTCAAGTCTGAGTCAGAAGAAGCTCAACACAGTGCACAGGCTCTGTAGCACCGGCGAGGATCATGAAATACTTTGGGTAGATTTTTAACTCAAACCCAAATTTTGACCGGGCAGCGCTGTTAGGCTACTCTTTTTAATTTCCAACTGCCAAAGGATTTTTAAAGTGCGCAACAATACACACGGGCGTCCGATCTAACTACCCAAAGACCAGGAGGAATTACTAGAAGTCCAGGTCCACGTGAAAAAATGCCAGCCCTCACCGGGAATTGAAGCCGGAACCTCTAGCACTAGAGGCGGACACCATGCCCTGAGACCACGTAGCCCCCTCAATAAAAGTGAATAACTATCTAAGGTAAGAACAATAATTCCAAGCGGGAATATAAGCTGGGTGATGGGATGTGAACGAAAGGATTTTTATTATGTGCTAAAACACTTAAAATAGACAAACAAGATTCAAACGGATTACCAGTGCACCAGAGCAGATATATTATATAAGCTAATAGATCAAATGATCAAAATATGCAGAAAGAATAACAATAATAAATATAAATAAATGAATTAACGATGAATTATTTTAGCTTCAAAGATTATACTAGCAAATAGACAGGCAGAAAGAAAAAATAAGCCAGATTATGTAAATCTTGATGTCTCGTGTTGGACAGACAGACAAGTAGATAAATACACACCGATACAAGTGATGGATTAGGAGATATAAGCTAAATAAGTTATCCTCACAACCTGCAGGGGTCTAACAAACAAAATCCCCTCTTTTTGTTTTACAAAATTTAATTTTAAATAAAATTTTCTTTTGATATATTTTAAATAAAATTTTCTTTTGATATATTTTGAATGAACTTTTCTTTTGATATATTTTAAATGAAATTTGTTTAAATATATTTTAAATGAAATTTTTTTTTGATATATTTTAAATTAAATTTTCTCTTGATATATTTGAAATGAAATTTTTTTTGATATATTTTAAATGACATTTTCTTTTGATATATTTTACATGAAATTTTCCTTTGATATATTTTAAATTTCAGAATTTTTAAAAAAGTTTTAACTTTTAGTCAATTTAGAGGATTACACATTATAATTTATCGGAATTAAAAAAAATATTCTTGTTATTATATCTTTTCATACAAATTAAACGACAGTATTTTTCCGTTAGCAATCTATTTAAAAGGCACACACACACACACACACACACACACACACACACACACACACACACACACACACACACACACGCACACACACGCACGCACGCACGCACACACAAACACACACACATATATATATATCTATTTTGAGTTTTCTGGAATTAGAGTGTGTAAGCAAAAGTGGTTAAGGACAACAGGGTATTTTATAGCTTAGGGCTTCAGGAAGTCTGCATTTGGCCCTGACAGACAGACAGACAGACAGACAGACAGACAGACAGACAGACAGACAGACAGACAGACAGACAGACAGACAGACAGACAGACAGACAGACAGACAGACAGACAGACAGACAGACAGACAGACAGACAGACAGACACACGCACACACAGATACATATGCATTATACATTGTGCAAATGATGATAGGCTCATATCTGTTTGACAGTCCACACTCAATGGAGAATGTAATATAGTCAGCATTACGTTGGCAACCAATTACTTCTTAAGACATTTCCAGGTATACATTGGCTGTGTCGACCTGAGAGCCAAGGTTCTTTCTTCTCAAATTCACGCTGGGTTTGGAATCGAACCCAAAATCTTTGGACCAGCAGGCAGGCATGCAGATACTACGCTACTGCGGCTCGCGTATAACTGACTGACTTTTTTACCCCACTAGGACATCAAGCTGAACGATAAACACCCGGTGACACGTAGTGCCAACATTCGAATGAGGATCATCCGGGGAGAGGTCCCAGAAACCCCGTTCAACCTTAAGGCTATATTAGGCCCCGGCAACAACCAGGATGGGGCTTCAACATAACGAAAAATACGTCCCCGCTGGGGAAATAAATACTCACACAGACACACACACACACTCGTTTTTACCATGTGAATTTTCAAACAAACTAATACAAGCATAGTCAGTGCAACCTATAAGCTTTAGAAGGCCAACCACCCCAACAAATAAAGTACACAAGGAACGGTAACTCACCGTTTGCAAGTGACTAACAGCAGCAGACGACACAGAAGTCCCCAGGCCAGCGATCTGTTGGTTTTTGTCCACTTCTCTAAATCCGATGTCAAAGGTGAGGCTGCTCCAGGAAGATTTATTGGCCAGAAAGAAATTGATGTACACAAGGACGCAAGCGCAAACAGCAAAGACCTGTAGCGTCCTCTTGAGGCGGAACCTCATGACATTAAAGTTATGGGGTCCTGGCAGATGTCACAGCTGAAACAGAAACAATTTATATGTCAAGTAAAAGACTCTTTTCAACACCGTTAGGGCGTATTGGGCACATAGTGCTAGACCTATGTTTCCAGACCAATCTGCAGTCGGTAAGTGATCTAGTCAACGTGACGCTGGCCTTAGTTCCCATGACTTTACCTGTCACCCCAGGGCTGCCAATGGGTTTTTATCAAAACTCTAGC